AAAAAGAACCAAATATTAAGAATGAAAATAATGAAAGAATTATTTTGTTTCTTCTTCTTACAAAATGAAAATACAACACGAACAATTCTCACTGGTAAAAATGGTTGAAATTTTAAATAAAAACTATATAAAAATGATAATGGTGTACGAAATAATTGTCTAAAAAAATATTTTCAAATGAAATTACATTAATTTATTATAAAACATACAATGCAATATTTGGTATATAACGAACAGTAAGTGCTGTATCATGAGGTATTGATTGTTCATTTTGTAATGATCCATTGGGTGTTGGAAGATCAGAATCTGTTGTTAATGCTGTATTAATAGCACGTTCAACATTCCAATCATGTGCATGAAGATATTGAAGACTTGTTTCAATTGAATCAATACCTGTAAATTCCTAATAAATATAAAAGAAAACAAAAAAATTTAATTTAATTCTATTAATTAAATCATCATACTTGAAAACGACCCAGAGTATTTCTCTGTTCTTCGGTGAGATTGTTACCTTCCATACAAAATTATGATTTAACAATGTGTGTTGCAATACTAAGTCGGTTTTTTCATTCACTTCTTTTTTTTCTTTTTTGCATTGATACCTGAGAATCGAATCATAAATAAGTAATGACAGTTCAATAGATGTCACTTTTATTTTTGATTAAAAAAAAAAATATCGAATAAAAATTCTTTTCATATCTTTATTTCATCTTTAATTCTTATTAGAATTAAATCAAATTTTAATAATAGATGTCAATAAATATATTACAAGAAGGAATCATGAAAAAAATGGATTCGTGATTTCTATCTTTATCTTTTATTTGTTAAAGATAAATTGTTTATATGAGTCTTTTATAAGACAAAAAAATTATGGCGACTAATTCAAGAAATGGTAAGAACATAATTTATATTTTCTGTTACATAGAACGAAAATATTCTATATGTTTGTTTTCTTTTTTTTTCTGCCTATATTCTAATAGAGATAAAATTAGTTCTCTTTTTCGTTCATTTGTTCTGTTCATAAGTAATAAATTTGTATTGTCATTTCACATATAGTTATGTCTAAATCTAATTGATAAAATATCATTATAACATTGACTAAACTTTCTACGCAGTTGTATTTTTTTGTGTTTTTTACTATCCGAATTCACTTGAGTACTCATTGACAATATAAAAAAAAAGATAGTATTGTTCTTTTTCTCTTACATCGACATATGCATCGGATGTGAACACTTTTATTGATACAACATTGTTTTACTCACACTTGATTTAGAGTGATGTCATGATTTTTATGTCAATATTGGCATAGATTTAGTACAAATCTTATCGTTGGATTTGAACGTTTAATGATAAATCATAAATGAGAATTGTAAAACAAAAGCTATAGACAATAAAGATTCATTTTTGTTACGTTCTCTCACACTAAGAAAAGAAGCTACTTAACATCAATGTTAGTCTCCATTTTCTGCCACATTCTTATAATATAAAAATTAAATTTGACACATCATCTTCATCATTTACACACACACACACACAACAAAAGACGCGTCAGCATTCACTTGATCCTATATGTTTCTTTCTTGTTTTTTTTTCATTAACTAGAATTACCTTCGCCATCAACATTTGAACATGTACCTCATCTTATTTCACAAACTAGTCTAGCTTCGGATAGTTTTTCATTACCAACAACAACTACTAGTCCTCGTAATTCACGTACATCAATTGATATAATCCGTGAAATGACTTGTTCATCACCATTACGACAGGATTATATGAATTTAACTGTACTTGATGTTTATGATGAAGCAGCATTAATAGGAAAAGATTTTGAACGTATTATTGAAGGTAATTATTGAAATTTTTTAATCGTTTAGTTTTTTTTCTTTTTTTTTATATATATATTTATTTTAAAATAGTTTATGGAACAGAAATAATTCGTGATCTTGTACCAAAAGTAATTCGTATACTTGAATTACTTGAATTACAAGCAACTAAAAATGAAAAAGAAGCAGATAAATTCATTGAAATGAAATCACGTATTACACGTTTAGAAATGGAAAAAAATGAAACACGTGAATTACGTGAAAAATTTAATCATGAACTTGAACTTATTGAAGAACAATGGCGAAAAGAAGTTAATAAAA